GGCCGTCTCGGGGCTCTCTTGGGCCGTCTTGGGGCTCTCTTGGGCCGTCTGGGAGCGGTGTTGGGAGCCTCTTGGGCGGTGCTTCAGCGCCGGAAACACGAAACAGCGAGAATGCAAAAAACATGGAAAAACTGAAAATCAACGATTTTGCTCTTTCGGGGCGCTCTTGGGCGGCATCTTAAAGGCCTCTCGGGGCGTCTTGGGGGCCTCCAGGGTAGTTTAAAATGCATTGTGTTGCCTCTTGCGGGCCTCTGGGGGCCTCTCGGGGGCCTCTTGGGGCCTCTTGGGAGCATCTTGGGGCGGAGAGCTTGACTTTCCAGTTCGCGTTCCCTCTCTTGGGCACCTTTTGCTGCCTTGTTGGGACCCTCTTGCGCCGTCTTGGGCGGCTCTGGGGCCGTCGTCTCGGGGCCCTCTTGGGGGCTTCTTGGGCCGTCTTGGAGCGGTTTTGGGAGCCTCTTGGGCGGTGCTTCAGCGCCGGAAACACGAAACGGCGAGAATGCAAAAAACATGGAAAACTAACACATGCAAATCAATGATTTTGCCCTTTCGGTGCGCTCTTGGGCGGCGTCCTTAAGGCCCCTCGGGGCATCTTGGGGGCCTCCGGGGCAATTTAAAACGCATCGTGCGGCCTCTGGGGGGCCTCGTGGGGCATCTTGGGGGCTTCCTGGGGGCCTCTGGGGGCCTCTTGGGGGCATCTTGGGGCGAAGAGCTTGACTTTCCAGTTCGCGTTCCCTTTCTTGGGCCCCTTTTGCTGCCTTCTTGGGGCCCTCTTGCGCCGTCTTAGGCGGCTCTGAGCCCGTCTCGGGGCGCTCTTGGGCCGTCTTGGGGCCCTCTTGGGGGCCTCTTGGGGGCCTCTTGGAGCGGTTTTGGGAGCCTCTTGGGCGGTGCTTTAGCGCTGGAAACACGAAACAACAATAATGCAACAACACATTGAAAACATACATGAAAATCAACGATTGTGCCCTCTCGGGGCGCTCTTGGGCGGTATCTTAAAGGCCTCTCAGGGCGTCTTGGGGGCCTCCGGGGCAATTGAAAACGCATGGTGCGTCGAAACAAACCCCTGGACGATGTCTTGGGGGTGTCTCGAGACCGTGTGGGGCCGCCGGGATTGCTGTCTGAGGGTTCCCTGGGCCGATTTTAGGCCTCCCAGAGGCGGGCCGGGGCTGCTTGAGGCAACGTTGGGCAACATCGCGCGATTTGGACGGTCTTTGGGTCCCTCGGAATATACCAGGGACAGTAGCTTCGATGACGCGAATATGGCGTAACGGACAAGGGAACGTGGCCTCGGGGGAGCGTGCATGGCGTAATTCACTCGAGACCGTGGCATCGACGCGAACTTTGTATACTACACGAGCCTCGGGCACGCGAGCATTGTGTAATCTACAAAGGACCGTGGATTCAGGACGCTAAGATTGTGTAACTTACGAGGGATCGTGGCCTCGGGGGCGCAAGCATGGAGTACGTTAAAAAGGGTCGTGGCTTCGGGAACGCGAATGCGACTTATTTTGCGAGGGATCGTGGCCTCGCAGACGCGAACATGGCGAAGTTTATGAAGGATCGCGGCATTTGGGGAGCGAGCATGCGTAATTTGCGAAGGACAGTGGCTTCGGGGACGCGAACATGGATCATGAACGGGATCGCTGACTCTCTGGATTCGAACGCGGTGTAATTTATATGGAATCGATGCCTCGTGCAATCTACAAGTGACCGTGGCCTCGGGAACGCAAGTATAACCTAATTTGCATAAAAATATCGTGGCCTCGGAGTCCTCGGAGGAGCGACTATTATACTTTTACCAAGGATCGCGGCCTCGGGGCTGCGAATCTGGTGTACTTTGCTTGGGATCGTGGCCTCGGGGACGCGAGGACGGCATAATTTGCAAGGGATCGTTGCTTTGGGGACGCGAATACGGAGGATGGGACAGGATGGCCCGACGCGAATACGTGAGGATCGCGTCGGGCCATCCGCGCGATTGGGACTAGGACCTGAAGCTCCCGCGGTGACTGAAAAGAAAACTTCGAGTGGAAAGGAAGGCGTGGTACAGTCGATTGATAGGAGAGGACACACGAGAGGACACACGGCCCTTCCGAGAGCCACATTGTCCCAGGAAGGTAGAGGATACAGGACGGGAACACACGGGACACGAAGGTGCCCTCAATTTGGCAGGGTCGACCTGCTCATCAAACTCGACTGCCAAGCTTCGGGTTGCTCGCAGGCAGCCTCCCAGATATTCCCGGCTTGCCTCAACATGACCCCCGAATACCCCTGAGGCGGTCTCAGCACCCCGGCGCCGTCTTCTCGGGTCGGGCGAAAGGGGGGGGATAGCAAAGGGAGGCTTTGAGAATCAGCTCACGTGGCTGATTTTCCCGGCGCCTCCCGGCGCCGCAGGCGGCTATGTATCGAGGAATGGGCCCCTCGGTGGGGCCGAAACCAGCTGCATGCAGCAAATTTCGTACGTATCGAGGAATGGGCCCCTCGGTGGGGCCGAAACCAGCTGCATGCAGCAAATTTCGTAACCCCTCCTCTCCCAATCTCCCCCTTTCTGAAGGGGCCCCAGAACACACAAATAAATACACACAAATAAAATCAATCCCCATATTTTCCCATATTTTCTGGGTTTCTGTTTTTCCCCCCACTGCCTATATTTTCCCATATTTTCTGGGGACTCGACGATTCATTGTGTCTGTGTGTTTTTTTCCCTCCTGAAATCCCCCCCTTTCGTATTTTCCCATATTTTTTGGATTTTCGTTTTCCCCCCCACTTCCCATATTTTCCCATATTTTCCTGGGAATCGACGATTAATTGTGTCTGTGTGTTTTTTCCCCTCCTGACTTTCGTCCGGCCGGATCTTCGGCGGCGCCCGCTGGGGGCGCTCCGCGCCCCAGGGGCCCTGGGGAATCGAGACCCCCCTGGAATTACGGTGCGGGTGTTGGGTGAGGAACCGTGGGGTACGGAATTGAGGGGGAGGAGGAGGAGGAGGAGGAGGAGGAGGAGGAGGAGGAGGGGGAGGAGGAGGAGGAGGAGGGGGAGGAGGAGGGGGAGGAGGGGGAGGAGGGGGAGGCCCGGGGCTGGGGAATCGAGACCCCCCTGGAGTACGGTGCGGGTGCTGGGTGTAGGGAGCCCACAAAGGATGTACGCGCCCAGCTATGTACATGAACACGGCCCCTCTGGGCCATAGAACGACGCGAAGATCGGGGCAAAATCGGATCGGGATAACTCGAAATCTCTGAGAATCGGCGGGTTTGGAGGATGTATTGGGCGCCGCGGCCGCTCCAGAGCGTTCCGGAACGCTCTGAGAGCGCTCCGGAACGCTCTGGATAGGGAGCCCACAAAGGATGTACGCGCCCAGCTATGTACATGAACACGGCCCCTCGATCCGCGAGGCCGGCCGCGTTATACGAACATTTGCGCAATGCGAACTCTCGAAACCAGCGTGGATTCATGTACATGTACGTCCTTTTTCCGCTCCTGAGGGTGAGGAACCGTGGGGTGCGGAATTGAGGGTCTAGAGGTCGGTGGAGCTCCAATCGTGGACTGGACATGGATGTTAACGCCGCCCTCATCAGGTAAGGAACCCGCCAGGGCATGGAGCCTCCTGGCCGCATTCCTCAAACAACGCCCCCACCGTACTCGTCGGCCCTGTTGAGGTAAGGCCAGCCGGGACTACCCAGGGGGCTGTCTGTATGCAACTCGCGGCCTTACCAGGAAGGGGGGGACTTGGAAAAGGATGAACAGGGAATGAGAGTTAGCGGGCGAAACAAAGGCGCGGATTACGAGAGAGGGGGATGGCGGGCGCAAGGCGCGGAGGAAGAGAAAGAGAGAGAGAGAGAGAGCGAGAGGGCAAGAGAGCGGGGGTGGGACTAGGGAGAGGGAGTTTGGAGCGAGGGGAGTGAAGGGTAGAGGGTACACGGGGGGAGGGGGAAGGGGAGGGCGTCAAGACTTCTCGACCCTGGGGTACCAGAATTTTCATCGTGGGACGCTTCTGCACTGGATCTGGAGCCCCAGACGGCCTCCAGAGGACACATCACAAAAAGACGTCGAGACTTTTTCGCGATGCCGCGAAATCTGCGTCGGTCATCGTGGGACGCTTCTGTGGTGGATCTGGAGCCCGAAGGACGGCCTCCAGAGGTCTCATCACAAAAGACGTCGAGACTTTTCCGCGACGCTGCGAAATCTGCGTCGGCCCATCCGCTCTCGCTAAGAGTCGTTCCCTGGGCCCCCTGCCAAGGTCCAGCCCGACTCAAGTTTCGGACCGCGTCCCTCCGTGGCCAGGAGGGCCCCTGGGAAGCCTCAAAGACAAAGGACCTCAAATTCGTCCGTCCGCGATTCTCCTCCTCCTCCTCCTCCTCCTCCTCCTGCTGCTCCACCTCCTATTCCTCCTTCTCCTCCTCCTCCTCCTCCTGCTCCTGCTGCTCCACCTCCTCTTAGCCGTGATCGCAAGGGCCCACCCAAGCCTGGCGCAAGAAGAGATAGAAACGTCAGAATCCCATATCCTCGATCATCTTTGTCCGCCCACTCCTGATCCTCCTCCTCACCAAAAAAAGCGGCGCGAAAAGAACTGGAAACGTCAACATCCCCTCATCCTCGATGATCCTGCTTCGACCCCTCCACCTCCTGCCCCTCGCCCAGGAGGCCCCCAGAAAGCTAGGGGGCTTCAAGATCCTTTGTCCTCGACCGTTCTTCTCCTCCTCCTCCTCCTCCTCCTCCTCCTCCTCCTCCTCCTCGTGTGCTTCACCGTCCTCGACATGCTCCTACTACGGATTTAGGTCGGGCCTGTCCCCCTACAGGCCGATTTTCGAAGAAAAATGAGAAAAAAAAAAAAAAAAAAAAAAAAAAAACATACAAACCATACGCAAAGAGAAGCAAACAAGAGCCAGAACCATCGTCCCCCGGACTAGTTGCTCCCCACTCTTGCAGATGATTCCTCCTGCAGGAAGGACAGAGGCCCGACTTCACGAGAGAAGGCCGCCGCCGCTCCCTCCTGGCGGCACCCGCCGCAGCTACACTGACGCGGATCCCCCGGTGGCCCCGGGCACCGGGCGCGGGCGCCGGGGGGGTGGAGGAAGAGGGGGAGGAGGAGGAGGAGGAGGAGGAGGAGGAGGAGGAGGAGGAGGAGGGAGGAGGAGGAGGAGGAGGAGGAGGAGGAAAAGGAGGAGGAGTGAGGAGGAGGAGGAGGAGGAGGAGGAGGAGGAGGGCGCGGCACCGCCGCCGCCGACGTCGGGCGCCGGTCGGTGGCGCCGACCGGCCCCGGGGAGGAGTGCGGGCCAGCCTGCGGCGGCCGTGCTCGGAGCCGCGGGGGCCCTCGGGGCCGGACCCGCAGCGCGGAGCCGCGAGGAGGAGGAGGAGGAGGAGGAGGAGGAGGAGGAGGAGGAGGAGGAGGAGGAGGAGGAGGAGAGGAGGATGGAGGAGGAGGAGGAGGAGGGAGGAGGAGGAGGAGGAGGCGGAGGAGGAGGAGGAGGAGGAGGAGGAGGAGGAGGAGGAGGAGGAGGAGCCGCGTGCTGCACGCGGGGGAGAGCGGTCGAGGAGAATGGGAGCCTTAGGGGTGGGCTCCAACACCCAGGGGGCTGCCTCCACAGGGGGAAGGAAGATACTGGACTTCGGTGCCGCTTTCGGTCGCCCTGGAGACCGGAATGTTGCCACCATCACCGAAATCGGGATCTTCTTCCCTCGGTGGATGCACACCGCCGGTATTGGTGTTGTTGTCAATTTTAAGGTCTGCGAGAGAAGGGGAGAGGAGATGGCACGGAACTGCAGGCAGAAGAAAAAGAAAAAACTGCAGGAGGAGCCAAACGTCAGCCCGTACAAGAAAGACGCACGACAAGGATGCAAGGGCCTCGGAAGGCTACGTCGACGCTTTGTGAGCGGGGCGTGGTCAGCGAAAGCGGCCAAGGATGGGCCGAAGGGAAAGGATGCAAGGGGAACCTTGGAAAGTCACTCATCCTTGCTACGCGGGCTGACAATCAACTTTCGGAGATCCGCGCGGATTTCTTGAATCGGCGCTGGACCCCCTCCCTGGCGCGCGGAGTGCGACAGGGGCGCGCCAGAGGCACCTCCAGGGGTCCAGGGCCGATCCAAGAAATCCACGCGGAGCTCCGAAAGTGTACACCCTGCGAAATGCTTAAGAAATCATGGGTTAAGAAATTCATAGTCTCAGAATTTGAAATCAAACCCAGAATGTCTATTCAAATGTTAGGATTTACATTGAAACATTAAGAATCACCGAGACTCTAGCCGAAAACTTGGGTTTCCTTAAGCATCGCCTGGAGTGTATGTCGATGCAGTTCTTAAATCTTGAGCCACCCTCACGATGAGCACCTGGACGAGTGAGGCCACTCGCTGCGCGCGCCCGTGGGGAAGGAGTCGAGAGCAGGGCGGTGCTCTGTTCGCTCGACGCCGCGGCGGTTTGGCAGTCGCGAACCGTGGGGGTCCGGGCGGTGGTCGCCCCTTGGGAGCAAAGTTCTCCGCGGATCCGAGGCCCGCACCCGAGGGGCGGCGACAGGAGGGACTGGCTCCACAGGGGGGGATCCTAGCAGATCCTGGGTCGGCTCGCTCCTCCTCCTCCTCCTCCTCCTCCTCCTCCCTCCCCATCCTCCCCCTCCTCCTCCTCCTCCTCCTCCTCCTCCTCCTCCTCCTCCTCCTCCTCCTCCTCCTCCTCCCCCCCTCCCCCCTCCTCCTTCCTTACTCCCCTCTCCTCCTCTCTCCTCCTCTCCTCCTCCTCCTCCTCCTCCTCTCCTCCCTCCTCCTCCTCCTCCTCCTCCTCCTCCTCCTCCTCCTCCTCCCCCTCCTCCTCCTCCTCCTCCGTCTCCTCCTCGTCCTCCTCCATCTCCATTCCTTATCCTTATAAATAATTTCTCCCTGTGGCACCCCGAGGCAAGTTTTTAGGGCGGTCTTGGCGTTTCGCCTGAGGCTTCCTCACCATTATGACTCTAAAGCTCAAGAGATGACAACAGTTTCACAGAGGGCGGGTGGCTTTCAAAATGTGGCCCTCGCTTTAGCGCGGCATAAATTCGTTATAAATATTTGCAAGGGTTTGACCGATTAGGGGCGGGCCGTTTTGAAAAAGTTGCTGTCGCCTTAGCTCGGCACACATTCGTGTCCAACATTGGAAGAGTTTCACGGGTTGAGGGCGGCTCCTTCTCAACATGTGGCTCTCGCCTTAGCGCGGCGCGCACTCGTTTTGAAAATTAGTAAGAGCTTCAAGGATTGAGGGCAGTTCTTTCCAACACTCTCGCCTTAGCGCGGCGCACATCCTTTGCAACAACTTGCAAGAGTTTCACGGATTCCCATTGTTAACGTGCCACACCTGGTGTTTTGACCGGATTCAGAATTATGCGGGTGCAAACAGTTGCGTTGATTCGCTGTGTTGAAATCCCAAGAATGGCGTTCTGGCACAATTCAGGATTGTCGAGACGCAACCGTCAATCAAATTTATCCGTGGCGTTGGAATTACGAGAACAGTGCTTTGGTATGCTTCAGGGTCTTCTAACGGTTGTCTTCGAACGAAGCAGTTCCCTCAATGGAATGAACCGTTTTAGGTGCCTGTGAAGAGGGAGCTTGGAGGGAGGGTTTATTCCAACATCGTTGACGGCTCTTGGGTTTACACTGGTCCTCCTCCTCCTCTTCTTCTTATTATTCTTCTTATTGCTATTCGTATGATTATTGTTTTTCTTATTCTTCCTCCTCTTCCTTCTCCTCCCCCTCCCTCTCCTCCTCCTCCTCCTCCTCCTCCCCCTCCTCCTCCTCCTCCCCTCCTCCTCCTCCTCCTCCCCTCCTCCTCCTCTCCTCCTCCTCCTCCTCCTCCTCCTCCTCCTCCTCCCACCTCGCCTCCCCTCCCCCCCCCCTCCTCTCCTCCTCCTCTCTCCCCTCCTCCCTCCTCCTCCTCCTCCTCCTCCGCCTCCTCCTCCTCCTCCATCCTCCTCCCCCTCCTCCTCCCCCCCTCTGCTCTCCGGTAGATCGGCGATAAGCTCTCGATTGCGAAACGCCACGTGCTCAGGCAGGGTGGGCTATCGGGAGTGGGCGATTGGTGGTCGACGTGTGCACCCTCGATTCTACCTCCCCCCTCACGTTCCCCCTGAGGCTTCCTTTCCGGGCCACTCGGCGCCCCTGGCGTGCGGAGGAGGAGGAGGAGGAGGAGGAGGAGGAGGAGGAGGAGGAGGAGGAGGGGAAGGAGGAGGAGGAGGAGGAGGAGGAGGAGGAGGAGGGGAAGGAGGAGGAGGAGGGGAAGGAGGAGGGGGGAGCATCAGGAGGTGCAGCCATCGTGCTACCACAAGGGGCACTGGACGAAGGCGGCAACGAGTCGGGGCCGGTGCCCCATCTTCGGGGCTGGTGCCCCATGCCCGCTGGTGCCCCACAGCCGAGGCGCTGCAAGAAGAACCCCTTTGTGGGCTCAGGAGGGGTTCGGGTCTTCGCCGCGCAGATACGCAATACGCAGCACGTGTCGTATTGATACGGAGCTCAACACGTGGACTGAAAACGTAGGTCTGACGCGGTGCGTTCGCCCAAACGTGGGCCAATACGTTGAAGAAGCACGCAACGTGTTGACACGCACGTTTTGAGCACGGTACGTGCTGCGTATGAACAACGGGCGTCTCGAGGCAGCTAGGGTGCATGGGCCATTACTTGGATCTGGGTCGGGGATCCGCTGAGCGGCCGAAAGCTCGCCGTGGCCAGAGACGCCCTGCCACTCCTTGCTCCCAGGGGCTGGGGAAACCAAAAAGTACCAGCACCGCTACTCCCTGGGCCTCTCCTGGGGTGCGTTCTGACCAGGATTCCGGGGCGAATCCAGCGGTGGCGAAAGGGCCTCCCGGGAGGCCCAAGAAGGGGACAACGGACGAAGGGTAGCGGTATGGGCACCTCTTCCTCCTCTGCGGAGGGCCCAGCACCAGAGCATCGGAGGACGAGATGGGGCATCGGGGGAGGGAGGAACGCCGCCCTTTGCTGGCCGTTCCGGGCCTTCGTGGGGGGGGCCTCGTCTTGCCGTCGCTGAGACGTCCATTTCCCGTGCATTGTTCGGTGTCGTGCGTGTTTTTTTTTGGCTCGATGGTCCAGGATGGCCCTCGATGGTTCTCGCCGCGAAAAAATGCACACGACCGAGCGATGCCAAGTCAGCACCTCCGCCAGCAGCAGGCGGACGAGCGCGCCCCGCAGCGCGCGCCTCCGCCAGGCGGCGCCGCCGGCGCAGCGTTCCACCTTCGCTGCCAAAGGCGCCGTCGGCATCTGCACATACACCTCCTCGTCGACCGCGTCGACCGCCTCGTCAGCCGTCGGCACGCGCGGCGCAGCCAGCGCAGCCGAAGCTGCGGCTGCCACGCCCGCGCGGGCGACCGCGCGACGAGGGCGCGGCGTCCACGGCAGCCGCAACGAGGGCGGCAACGTGTTTTTTATGCTCGATGGTCCAGGATGGTCCTCGATGGTTCTCGCCGAGAAAACATGCACACGACCGAGCGATGCCAAGTCAGCACCTCCGCCAGCAGCAGGCGGACGAGCGCGCCCCGCAGCTCGCGCCTCCGCCAGGCGGCGCCGCCGGCGCAGGGCTCCACCTTCGCTGCCAAAGGCGCCGTCGGCATCTGCACATACACCTCCTCGTCGACCGCGTCGACCGCCTCGTCAGCCGTCGGCACGCGCGGCGCAGCCAGCGCACCCGAAGCTGCGGCTGCCACGCCCGCGCGGGCGACCGCCGCGATGCTGCGACGAGGCGCACGGCGTCCACGGCAGCCGCAACGAGGGCGGCAACGTGTTTTTTATGCTCGATGGTCCAGGATGGTCCTCGATGGTTCTCGCCGAGAAAACATGCACACGACCGAGCGATGCCAAGTCAGCACCTCCGCCAGCAGCAGGCGGACGAGCGCGCCCCGCAGCGCGCGCCTCCGCCAGGCGGCGCCGCCGGCGCAGCGCTCCACCTTCGCTGCCAAAGGCGCCGTCGGCATCTGCACATACACCTCCTCGTCGACCGCGTCGACCGCCTCGTCAGCCGTCGGCACGCGCGGCGCAGCCAGCGCAGCCGAAGCTGCGGCTGCCACGCCCGCGCGGGCGACCGCCGTGATGCTGCGACGAGGCGCACGGCGTCCACGGCAGCCGCAACAAGGGCGGCAACGTGTTTTTTATGCTCGATGGTCCAGGATGGTCCTCGATGGTTCTCGCCGAGAAAAAATGCACACGACCGAGCGATGCCAGGTCGTCGCCGCGGTCGATTCGCCTCGGGGCGCAAGGAACGCCGGTCTTTTGCCTGCCGCTGCGGGCCTTGGTGCGGGGCCTCGTCGCCGCGGAGGATGGGGGGGGAGGAGGAGGAGGAGGAGGAGGAGGAGGAGGAGGAGGAGGAGGAGGAGGAGGAGGAGGAGGAGGAGGAGGAGGAGGAGGAGGAGGGGAGGAGGGGAGGAGGGGGAGGGCGAGGAGGAGGAGGAGGAGGTGGAGGAGGAGGAGGAGGAGGAGGAGGAGGAGGAGGAGGAGCAGGACAGAGAGAGGGGAGGAGAGCATGCTGCTGCGGTACGTGAGCCGCCTAAAGTTAAGCGATGGACGAGGCGCCCGAGACGCAGATAAATCCTGCGCGAGCTCGGTCGCCAAACATGTCTAACCTGCACGCCTTGCGCTGACTGTCGTACGTTCACTCCTCTTCCTGGCTCCCTCCGCCTCATGCCCCCATCTTGGCCTCGGACAGAATAAGCATCCGCGTCTGTTCCTGGGGGCCCCCTCGACGTGAAATAATTGTTTGGTTCGCCACCCACCGGCCCAACGGGCCAGAGGCGTGCTAAGATCTCCAGTAACTGGTTAACAATATTTCTAGTTCGCGCGCGCGGAGCGGCCCCTGGGGGCCCCCGGACGAAAAGTACCCCAGCCCGGGAGGAGCCACCAGAGCACTCCAGGGGAGGGCCATTTTTCGACACCCCTCACGAGGATCGTGGCCTCCGAGGGGGGAGCCGCAATCAACTACCCCCCCTCCCGCCCCAAGAGGCCCCCAAAAGCCCCCAAAGAGGCCCGGGGGGCCCCAAAGACGCCGCCAAAGAGCCCCAAGAGACTCCCAAGAGGTCCCCAAGAGGCCCCCAAAAGGCCCTAAAGAGGGCTCCAGGGCCGGCGGAATGAGCGAAGCGATTAATAATTGTTTAGTTCGCCACCCATTCCAGAGGCGCCTGCGTGCAGAAGCCATGATGAAGCGCTGTGCTGTTAGCCCCGCTTGGCCGTCAAGCGTGATCCAACATAGGGCGGCCGTTCCGACCGCCCGCGAATCAAGTCTTCCTCGCTTCCAAGACGGCCAAGGAGGTCCCCAACGCCTTTCCAGGAGGTCCCCGGGATGGCCCGCGAGATCCCCGATGCACACCGAAGGAGCCCCGGGGACTCGAACGTCTTCCAGAGACCCCTGCTGGAACCCAGGCTCCCGAATAACTTACATTCGGCCCGGAATCTAAGGACGCGCGATAACGATGCAGGGGCCTGGGACGCCCATTTCGAAGTTTTTCGAGCGGGGCGCGGCCAACGAAAGAGGCCAAGGATGGACCGAGGAGGCAACGATGCAAGGGTACCCTTGGGAAGGTTGCCCATCCTTCTTGTGCGGATTGACTGTACTCCAGCATGCGACCCGAACGTCTTCCAGGGACCCCTGCTGGAACCCGGGCTCCCGAAAAACTTAGCAGAGCCCACACGCACCGCTAAGGTGGACGAGGAGGAACCCGACATGCTCCCAGGAGCGGGTCTCATACGGCCCACCCCACACCCAACACGAGCTCACGCCTCCGAGAAGACCAGAAGACTTGGGAAGAGCACCCAGCTAAAGTGCACGGGAGGGCCCCAAGAGGCTGGCGAGAGCCTCGCAATTAGTAGCCACGATGCTTTCTGGTTATGGTGTGGTTCTTTCGCCGACTTGCCCCGACCTTGTCAGCATTGTTTTTTCATAGCAAGCCGCCCCACCGCGAGCCCGGACGTAAGACATTATACCATGCTGCGTGGGACCGCAAGGGTCGATCAGACCAGACAACACAACCAGCGAACACATCTAAGCCGAAACGAATACATACACGAACAAAATCGCACCAGATAGTAGTAAGCCGCCTGTGTGTACGCGGGCCTTCCCCCGCGCGGGCTGCGGACACACAGGTGGGCACAGGAAGGCTCGTCATTGAGCGAAACGCAATCATGAATCACGTGTGACCGAAATCGTGACACGGAGGCGGAGGAGGAGGAGGAGGAGGAGGAGGAGGAGGAGGAGGAGGAGGAGGAGGAGGGGGGAAGGGGAGGAGGAGGAGGAGGGAGGAGGAGGAGGAGGAGGAGGAGGAGGAGGAGGAGGAGGAGGAGGCATGGGCACCAGAATTGGACATAACACGCGACGGCGAGAGGGACCGGGGGCCGATGATGCGCGCGAGAAACCACTGCCAGGGGAGGAGGAAGAGTCCTCCTCCTCCTCCTCCTCCTCCTCCTCCTCCTCCTCTCTCCTCCTCCTCCTCCTCCTCCTCCTCCTCCTCCTCCTCCTCCTCCTCGACACACGTAATAAACAATTTGGAGAGTCGCGCTTCTTGGATTACCGCATGTTGCGCCATCCGATGGGACCGGTCTTGCGTCAACGCAGATCAAGAATTCCGCACCAGCACACGTGATACAACGCCTGATCGCATCGGATTCCGCCTCACGTCCACGAACAAATCCAGACCACGCCAGTCAGGGTAATTGAACGTGAGACCCCGCAACAGGTAAGCGATGCAAACGGACAGCTGGGGGCACGCGGAGCTGTGAGAACGAGAACGCCCCCCAGCATGGATCCTTGACCCTCGACCCTCGAGCGAAGCGAGGTCCCTCTGAGTATTTTCTTAGGGCGGAGGGTTCATGGTGAAATCTATATGGGCCTTTGCACCTCGAAAATCAATCCGTCTTGTGATTCACCTTTTTTGCAGATTCAAGCCTCGAAAACCCATCGAAACGGCATCTCAGATCTCACCCCCTGCCCTCCACCCCAAGAATCCCTGGCGGGCACCTGGGAAACTGCCCGAGTCCGCCGTGCACTGCCTGCGCAGGCGTGGGGACTACGCCGGGCGCCCGACGGCAAAACGGGGGGCGACGAATCGAGCGGGGAGGAAGGCCCGGCGACGTCGCTGGGCGAGGGCGACGAGGAGTGCTTGGATCTTATCGACGAGCGCGTTCCACCACAGTCACACAGATGATTCAGAGAATTAGCAATTCAGAAAGCTGGGCCAGCTTTACAGAAGTTCTTTGAGGAAAGGCTGGGCCAGCTTTTGGAGCCAGGAACGTACACTATTCATTTCTAGGACCCAAGGCTACCAATCCCCTTAAGAAACTGAGCCAGCTTTCCGGCAAGGTGGTCAAGAAACGCTGGGCCAGCTTTTCGGGGGGAGGTTTCTTGATCATAAGCGGGACCGTACTCGCAAAGTGACTACTCGCAAAGGGCCTGGATCCGCCGCGGGGGATCTACGATCCATTACGTGGAGACGAACATGTGCTTTTTCAGACGTTTTGCGAGTACTTAGGCGCTCGGCGAGTCCCGGAACGCGCTCGGCTTCATCGGGACAGCCAGCCCTGCTGCCAGCCGATCAACCCTTACAACGTGTGGTCTTCTTCTTGGAGCGCCGCGGCCCACGTCTGAGGGCCTCGCTACTGGCGGCTTACGATGACGATGAGGTGTAGAGGGCAGGAATGGGGAGGCGCGCGGAGCAGGAGCAGGAAGGCGAGAATGGAGGACCGAGGAGGATGGGTGGGGGGAGGCGAGGGGAAGGAGGGAGAAGACGAGGACGGGAGGACCGCAAGGGGAAGACCATGAGGAGCAAGACGAAGGTGAGGGAAGAACAAAGAAGGGGGCGGCACGAAGAGGATCATGAGGAGTACAAAGTACCAAGATGTGGAGGAGGAGGAAGAGGAGAGGAGGAGGAGGAGGAGGAGGAGGAGGAGGAGGAGGAGGAGGACAGGAGACAACAAGAGGAGAAAGAGAAATATAGTTGACCGTGGCTGGCCGAAGGGTGGGAGGTTGACGAGGACCAGAGGTGGAGGAGGAGGAGGAGGAGAAGGAGGAGGAGGAACAAGACAACATTCTGAGACGACAAAAAAAACGGGGCGGGTCCTGATACGATGAATGGCCTACGGGTCAGGTGCTGTTGCCGTGCGGCCCGTGGGTGCAAAGGGTTGGTAAGGCATGCGTGCACGCGGGATTCGGCGAAGCCGAAGCAGGACTCAGACACGATTTCAGCCCCCAAACCTGGCCGAACCCAGCGCGCTCCCTCCGAGGCCTCCGACTCCGACGCTCCGAAGACGAAGGGCCTCGACCGAAGATGTCCGCCCGCGCCGCGGGGTGCCCTGCCGCGTTGGGCCGCGCGCCGTCGGCCCGAGACCGGCTTCCCGCCCCCCTCCCCGCAGCTGCCATCTACGATGTGCAGCGCAACCCAGCTGCTGGGACGCTTCCGTCCCAGCGCCAGGCTCGCGCCCCGGGAGCTAGACGAGCGCAGCAGCGCCAGCGGCACCTGTGGCGTTAGCCTACCTGCATGCCCCGTGGCCCAAGGAGCGGGCCTCGGTGCGAAAAATCAGCAGCCACCCTTTCGCCCCATGGAGTCCCCGCCAAGCTCCCCCAAATCAAGTCCCTACGCTTCTCTCTGCCTCCTCCGATCGAGTGCCGTGAGGCACGCCACGCGCAGATAACTAGCAGCCAATACCCTCATACAGTCAACCCGTATAAGAAGGACGCACGATAAGGATGCAAGGGCCTTGGAAGGTCGTTTCGGGGCTTTTCCAGCGGGGCGCGGCCAGCGAAAGTGGCCAAAGATGGGCCGAAGGGGCAAGGATGCAAGGGAACCCTGGGGAAGGTTGCCCATCCTTCTTATGCGGGTTGACTGTAGTATGCAGTGGCCTCCCTCCCTCTCCATCCCAGGCATCCGACGTCATCACTTTTTCGCGGCGAGGGGAACCCCTCGATCCCCTCCCTGGGACCAGCTTCATGGCCCGGGCCTCTTTGTTGGTGGACCCAGGGGGCAAAACGGGCCCCCGGTGGTCCAATACGTCCCCGCCAGCGAGAATCGGGGGCGGCCAAGAGGGAGGCGTCCAAGAGGGGGGGGGGCGCAAATCATGGCCGGCGGCATGTGCGCGGCCCAAGGGGGGGGGGGGCCAGGAACGTAATGAAATAAGAAGTAGCGCCATGAAATCTGGGGAAATAGCATGGCCCACGCCATGATATCCCCCCCATAGTCATCAACCCCCTCTTTGCCGCCCCCGAGAGAACGCCGTCGCAGCTTTCAGCGTCACGGCCCGGGATGATCTGGACCTCGTCTTCGTCATCGTCCGCGCCCGCCCGACACGGTCAGCTCCCCCGCCGCCCCCCGCCTCTGCTCCCGCCCGCCGCTGCTCCTCACTGCACCCCGCCCTGCGGAGGTAGGCCCTCTCCCCTCCCCGATGCTGCTCATCCCCAGCCTTCCTCCGCCTGCTGTTTCTGCTGCCACTCTTCCTCCTCCTCCTCCTCCTCCTCCTCATCATCATCATCATCATCCCCTCCTCGACCCGCCCTTCCGTCATCCCCACTTTTCAACTCCTACTCCCTACCCCGTTGCGCTACTACCTCCCCTCCTGCTCACCTCTCCTTCTGCCCCATTCCCCTGCCAACGGCAGACACATGCGATGGAAGTTCGGGACACATG